AAACTATATCGCAATTTCGACCTATTGGGCTTTGCAATGTTGTTTACAAAATTGTGACTAAGATTATTGTGCTTCGTCTTAAAGATTTGATTGGGGATCTTATTTCCCCCCTCCAATCTAGCTTTGTCCCAGGGAGAAGGGGCATTGATAATGTATTTCTTCTTCGAGAATTTGTCTACAACTTTACTAAAAAGAAAAGACGAAGTGGGGATATGATCATTAAGATTGATCTTGAGAAAGCTTATAATAGATTAGAATGGAGCTTTATTAAAGAGGCTCTTATTTTTTTTAATTTTCCTCCGCTTTTAGTGTCTATTATCATGTCCTACATTTCATCCACCAGTTTCAACGTGATTATCAATGGTAGCACTACTAATAAATTTCAATCATCTAGGGGACTCCGTCAAGGTGATCCCCTTTCCCCCTACCTCTTCATGTTGTGCATTGAATTCCTCTTTATTAAGATTAGCGGAGAGGCTAGGAATGATGGTTGGAAGGGCTCTAAGATTGGGAAAAGGGGTCCTACTATTTTACATCTGTTCTTTGTTGATGATTTAATATTCATAGGCAAAGCTTCTATGGACAATGCTATATATCTAGATAACCTATTAAAGTTCTTCTGTGACAGATCTGGCCAAAAGATTAATTTTGCCAAATCAAAAATTCTATTTTCTTACAATGTCTCCATGGCTACTAAATTAGATATCTGCTCTAAATTGTCTATAAATGAAACCTCTGCTCTCGGGAATTACCTTGGATTTCCTATTACCCCAAAAAGGCTCTCAAAAACAAATTGCTTGTTTATTGTGGACAAAGTTAGAACTAAATTGGCGAGATGGAAAGCCAATATGCTTTCCAAGGCTAGAAGAATTACTCTTGCATCCTCGGTTCTATCTGCCATTCCTAACTATTATATGCAAGGTATTTACCTTCCAAAGGCTGTTCACAAGGAACTTAATTATCTCCCTCGACAATTTATTTGGGGAACTTCTAGGGAGAGAAAGAGACCCCATCTTGTATCATGGGAACGGATTACCCAGCCTAAAAAAAGTTGGAGGTCTAGGCCTCAGATCATCCAAGGAAGCTAATCAAGCTTCCATGGCTAAAGCTCACTGGAGGCTTCTCACTGAAAAAGAAAAACTATGGTCCAAAGCTTTCTATGAGAAATATAAGATTGACAATCCAAAAAGCAACTTTAAAAAGCTATCCCCTGTCATGAATAATATTGCAAAAGGGAGTCATATCCTTATGAAGGGGATTAAATGGATTCCTTGATCAGGTGACAAAATTCTGTTCTGGTCCGATAATTGGGTTGGCAACAGACCTCTCAATGAGGTCCTTTACGACCCCTTTAGCCTAAATGGGGAAAACCTTAGGATTAATGAAGTTATTCTCCCTTCTGGCGAATGGGATTGGGATAGCATTGAATATCCACTCCCTGAAGATATTAAAAGCAAAATTAAGGCCATTCCCATCCAATCTGTGTCTCAATATCAGGATGGTTTCTGTTGGGGCCTTTCCTCTAATGGTCGTTTTCAAAGTAAATCTGCTTATTATTTAGCTGAGAACATACCTAATGAGCTTCAGGAATCTTGGCTTTGGGTTTGGAATATACACTCCCTTCCTAAAATCCAACACTTTATTTGGCAATTAGGATATGGTAAACTTCTCACTAAAAAGGCTCTTTTTGCCTAGGGTATTGCTGATTCTGATTTGTGTCCTAGGTGCCAAAGGGAACCAAAATCTCTTAATCATCTTTTTAGGGAATGCCCATATTCTAATCTTCTCTGGGATGCCCTCACCCCCTCCCCCATTAATGCTATGTTTCTTGACCTTAATTTTACTGATTGGTTGAGGAGCCACTCCTGCCTTCAAACCAATCTGGAAGGTTTAACGTGGAATACCATTTTTTCTTTCATTATATGGTCTTTGTGGTATCTCAGAAACCAACTTGTTCATGAGGGAAAAAATCTTCCCATTAATGTGCCATGTGATCTTATTCAATCAAGAATTGTAGATTTTCAAAAGTACTACAGTTCTAAGCAGCAAAAACTCCCAAGCAAAGCCACTATCTTTGTCAAATGGAATCCTCCTCCTGAAGGGACTATAAAGTTAAACACCGATGGATCTGCTTTTGGAAATCCTGGTATGGCAGGAGCTGGAGGAGTGTTCCGAGATCACTTGGGAAATTGGATCATGGGATTTGCTCGTAACATTGGTCACACTACTAGCATTGCGACCGAGTTATGGGCCATTCGTGACGGTCTTAAACTTGCTGTTTGTAGGAGATATAATAGGCTTATCTTAGAGACTGATTCACGTACTGCTCTTACTCTTTTGCATGCTGAAAATTGTAATTTTCACTCACTTGATGTGCTTATATCTGATTGCAGGGTTCTCCTACACCAGCTCCCTGATGTGCAGACCACTCACATCTACCGTGAAGCTAACTCGGTTGCAGACTGCTTAGCCAAAATGGGCACTAGATTAAATAATCCCTTTGCTGTTTTTGAACAATGTAATATGAATGTTGCTATGTTATTGCTCTCTGACACTATTGGGAACTCAGTTCCCAGGGATGTAACTATTATCTAATCTATATATTCTCGTCTTCTACCAAAAAAAAAACGACAAACGACGTTACGAAGTCAGTTAGCAGAGGAGTTGATTTGCACCCAACGTGAGGTTGGAGGGCTTATTTGCCACTTTTTTAGTTCAGGAGCTTTTCACTTGCTGTTGAAAAAGTTGAGGGGCTTAAAAAGGGGTTTGCCTAAATCAGGACACTCTTTAATTAATTAAGAAAGCGGATTGATGGTGCGTCGGAATCGGAGTCGATGTCGAAGTCGGACTCGAAACCAGTTGTTTAGATTAGGATTCGAAACTACGATTCCTTCCAAACGTATTTATCTTATCCATTTCAAATTGAAATGGTATATTGAATACTCCTACTATTAAGACATACAATCAGATATATATATATATATTTTAAATTTTGATTGTATAATAAAAAATAATTATTTTTTATTTTATTTCACTA